CCACGTCTGCGCCATCTGTGCTGCCCGGCTCGCCTGGCCACCGGCCCAGCTGCTCCCTGCACTCCTCGCCCGCGCGGAGTGCTACATACCACGCGGCATTGTCACGCGGGTCCGATGCCAGCGCGTTTCCTGTACATCAGAAAAAAAAAATTCGATAAGCACATAAATGAGATGGCATTCAGATGCTTGGACACTATGCAGCTTGGCCTCGCACCATTCGCAGGGTGATGAACCACCGTTTTCCTTCTCTCCTCTGCAACTTACCGATGGTCTTTGCCTCAGCGCTGCGCGGGTCGCTTTCCTCCGCAAATGACCGGTACCGCAAAACCTTAATAAAAGCCGCGTTTTTGCAAAACCGGTCAATCTCATCCAACGCAACAGGTCGTTCCGCGCGTCCAGCCTGCGCGACCAGCTCAGTCACACGCGCAGCAACAGCCGCGGCGTCTTGACGCGCTTTCGTGCGGTATATCGTCTGCAGATTAACATACGACTCTGTGTCAGAGTGCATGTCGGGAACCGTGCCGGGCAATGGCAGCAATCCGTGTCCCTCACTCGCGACAAAATCCCGAACAGCGCGTGCAATGATCCAAAAGTCTGGTGTGTCCGGTCCAAGGTTTTCCGCGCGTTCGTCATTGAGAATCGATTGGATGGACGAGGGTATACTTGTTGGCGTCCACGCGCGGTAGGCCGACGCCAGGGCTTCTTCGAAATTAAGGTTCTCCACGCCTGGCTCCTTCCGCTCCTGCGCGCGTACGAGTTGCTTGAATTCCTCCCGCTCCTCTCTATTTGATGGGAGCGCGCCGTTGTGTGACTGTTTCCAAGTGTTCAGGGCTTTCAGAAGGATGACGATATATGGGACGTGGCTGTGCGCGAGTGAGTCCATCGCGTCGAGATCAAAAGAGTCGGCAAACGCAGCGAGCGCCGGAAATGGGGAATCGAAGCGAAGATCGATAATTTGCTCCGGGTGTGATTCCACGACTTCAAGGGAAGGGATGGTGTGAGCGATATATCCCACTCTCCAAATATTGCAACCACTCCGCACTGGCTACTTACTCGTATGCTCTCGCACTTGAATCCTGGCATATCCAACCAATCCATGCGCCTGAACAATAATCAAACCAACATCCTGCTCCCAGCATATGTCCGCTAACCGCCGCAAACTTTTCCCGCTGATCTGAGTCGCAATCACCAGCGTGAACTGCTTGAAGAACTCTGGCGACCGCTCGATCACTGCTTCAGGGTTTTTTTGCACATGGTCGCCTAGCACGTCGCCGTTGAGCTCGAGAAGAAGATCTGAGACGACTTTAGCGCGCGGCTGGCCGACGTGCGCGGGCGACACAAAGAAGTTCTCGCCGAGATCAGAGTCAGACACGATTGCACAGTCGACGACAGTAAGAGATCCAATTCCTAGTGGGCGACCGGAGGCTCACTCTGTCAGAGCTCAGCTGCCATTCACGGGGTTTCAGTCGAAGTTGTTACCTGGAAGAATGAGATTCTTGACAATCTCGGTCCCCACACCCGACCCCTTAAGGAGGCAGACTTTGGATCGTTCGAGCGCGGCTTGTCCGTGCGCATGCCACAACCTTGAGTGCAGAAAAGGAAAAGCAAGACCGGTCTGTCAGCTGAGACACATGACGGCCGAGACGCTCATGCCCGAACAACTCACCGCAGCTGCCGGTCATATTTCTGAGTCTTTGAATCCGCAATGCTCATGATAACGCGACTGACAGAGAGCGGTTGTAGATGGGTTGGGAAACTCCTCTTGTTCGACACGCTTAGGGGATGCGAAAGCTGCCGCGAGAGCTACGATGTGCTCGAGGTGTCTCGCCAACATTATTTGCATAGCCACCGACAGCTGCGCAGACTGCACCAGCTGGACCGAGCCCTATTTTTAGCTAGCCTCACAATCAGTGATGCTCCGCCTGAGCCCCCCGGCGGCGGTTGGGTACCGCAGAGCTTGTTGAGTAAGCTTTGGTCTACTTGCTGGACTCCGTGAGCGTTAATGGTTCAGTTTTTTCATGTCACTAGACCGCGATGTCAACACCATTCTTGCCATGTCGCTTTTCAGCGCCGCCGTAGCGCTTGGGATAGCGAATGTCATATACGTCGTGCGACAGGACCTTTTTGCGCCGCGGGTGTCACGGTCGCTCACAACGGTCATATCCCAGATCATCCTTCTCGGCTCCTACGGCGCGTCGCTCTTTAACGGAATCAGCTATTGCCAAGGCGACATTGGTGGATTTAATCGAGGCTATCACTTTAGCTCGTCGATGGTCATGCTGGGGAGTTTCTTGCTGGCGAACGTTGTTCTTGGCTTTCTGCCCGCTGTGCAGATCCGGTTGATGTATCATCCGCGCTGGAACACGTTTGCGACCTTTATTACCCGGACGGTCTTCGGCATCTGCTTTTGCGGCTTTGTCGCGACGACGCTCGCCGTCGGCATCCATGATTTGCGGAATCCGCCGCTGACTGACTCTCCCTTGCTGGACGCACGGAGCCTGCTATACACCGTGTGGCTGGCTTACGGCCCGCTCCTTGCCTGCACGGTCCCTGTGCTGGTTTTGAGAATGATTATCGGCGTCAAGCAACGGCTGGCCGGGATCAACGACGCTCTGATGGAAGAAAACGGTGTTCGAACAGTTGAAATTCTAGGTGAAGTGCAGAAAAAGTCGATCTTAAGTTTATGCGTGGCCTGTCCTATGACGGTCGCATTGGCGGTGTCCACGGCGTGGCCGTATGCCCCTCTTTTGGATGCGTTCGCGACTTTCTGTAAGGAACAAACGCGGGCTAAGAAGATCGGTTTGTTTCTCCCCAGCGCTCACTGCTTGCCTCGCATGCCTTTTCAGACTGCTCCGCATTCTGTTCCTACTTTCTTTTCACCATTTACATTATTCGGCAAGTTACGCAATATACACCAGCAGCTGGCAGCATGGAACCCAGCTCGGCGACTGCCAACGTACCCATTAAACGCCGCCGGGGGCTTGCAGCAGTCGAACATTCTAATGAGGCCAACCAGCCGCGCATGGGCTCAAGCGGAGCGAGAGGGAGCCACAATCTGCCCCGTCCCGGCAGCGCTAACCGCGACCATACGGCGGGAGCCAGCGAGCGGCAGCTTGCAGACGACGAGGATTGCGGGGAAGTAGAGCCTTATACCGCTCCGGTGAACGTGCGCTTGGCAGCGGTAGGCGCTGTACGGCGAAGCAGAGATTTTGGTGAGGAAGTTTAGCGTCCCACCTGCTTGTATATATTAAAAAGAAAGCCGTAGAAAAAAATTTTGGTCGAGACCTTGTCAGAATGAGTCACAGTCACCAGCACGCGGTTAGCGGCCTCTGGCGCCCCAAACCCGGAGTGCGCCAAAGAGAGTAAAAAGAAAAGAAAAGTCGTCTGAATCTTCCCCCCAAATTCGGACTCTTGCGACGACGCCCAGGGAATTGCTGCATTGTTTTGAGCGCTGCACGTTTTTGTGGGCGCTGCTGGGGGCGAGGAAAGGAAAAGGAAAATTTTGCAACACGCGCACTATCGTAATGGGACCCCATCACTCGTGGGGACGGGCGTTTTCGAACTTGGCGAGCAAGCCATCCGACGTGGGGCCTTCTTTCTCGCGCAAGACATTGTGAGTGATTTGTCACTCTTCCTTTTTCCTTTTCATGAAAAGAAAGCCATCCTCCAGGGGCCACGGGATGCCGTTGTTCTCTTTATGTGAAGCGAGAGAGATTCGGCGTATAAAAGAGAAGAATGCGAATGGCGTCCTGGCTTTCACCCATCAACTTCTAGAACTTCTTCCTTCATCCCCCACATCGCTCGACTCTTAATCCTCAATGGCCGACTCTCCGCTCTCAATTTCCGGCTATGAGACATCCGTCGCAACAGCAGTCGCTTTTTCGCTTCTATATCTGGCGCTGTTAATTTGGTCGGTCCGAAATGCCATCCTTTTACGACTCAAACCGGAGTGGTGGGTTGTCGGTTATTTCGCAAGTAAGTGTGCATCGCGCCGTCGGATAGGGTTGTTCTTGAACAGTGGTCTAACTCCTAACCTCCTTCCTCTCTTGCCGCAGTGCGCATTTTGGCGTTCTTGACCCGCATTTACGTCAACTATGCCGCATCACTGAACGACGACGGCTCACTGAACAAAAACAAGAAAAACACATACATCGTCGACTCGATTCTCTACTCCGCCGGCTATTTCTTCTTGCAAAACTGCTGCCTCGGTCTACTCGATTCGCTTATAACCAACGTCAAGGCGTCTGGCTCGCAATTCGCTCTCGATGCACGTGTCATGCGCTATCTGCATATCGGGATCACCGCCAGCGCCGTGCTGAGCATCTGGGGCGGACTCAAGCTCACAAACGACCCGCTGCTGGACTCAGACCTCGATACTGCGCACAAGTATCGCATCATCGGCATCGTTATCCTCGCGCTTGCGACAGTTTTCATGGCCGGAACCGCCTGGTATTGCTCGACGCTTGCTAAAGACCGAAGCATCCGAACAGGGGGGCGATATCTGTTTGTCGTCTTGCTCGTGCTGCTGATTCGCGTCGCCGTGTCGTACTTTTTCGTCGAGAACCAGAGCAAGATGTTCGAAGAAAAGTACCTGTACGGCTTGTGCATTGGGGTGGAGATACCTGCGGCCGTGATGCTTTGCTTACCGCAAATGCTTGCGCACTTTCTGCCGTTCAATTCGACCGGCGAACAGCTGCCAATGCACATTGCGCAGCCGACTCCTGTGGGTTATACGCCGTCCATGCCGCTGCCGCAGCCACAGGACGTCCCGAAGTACGACGGCGAGGCGAACGGGCAAACTGGATGGCACTAACGACAGCTAGCACATCGTACATTAGTATTGCGCAAATAAAAAGACTTTTCCTGAGGTCTTTGTTGTCCATCTCTAGTGTCCTTAATAGTCACGATTATTGGCAAAATTATAAAATGCAACGTTCCATCTGTCAGGTTTGCAGTTTATATATGTTGTGACTAAGTGTTACCTTCGAACGAAGATCGGATCCCAGTTAGTATAGTGGCTAGTATCCCCGCCTGAAACCTCACTTATAAAGGCCTGCAGTATGTGTGGATGCAGCTCTGGGAAGTGAATGGCGGCGGCGGTGGGGGATAGCCCGGCGCCTGGGTTCAATTCCCAGACTGGGAGCTTCATGAATTTTTGGAATTGGTCGCAGCGCTGACGGTCACGTGAGTGGCCTCCGCGCTTGTCTCCGTCTTTTCTCGACGCCGAAAAAAAGGAAGACCACCCGACGTGTATTTTTGCATTCAAACGACCGGCACTACTCCCCTTTACCACACTGGTATACACCATGGGCTTGGCAGGCCCAAGAACAAAGCAGCGCATCGGGCTGGACCCGCAGAACAGGGCGTGGAAGGATGGTATGTGAAAAACACTTGTTCATTTCCGACTGCGTGGGACGAGAAAAACTCACACGTACTTCCTTCCCCTTAGACAAGTCCAAGTTTGGCCTGAAGATGATGCAAAAGATGGGCTGGACGGAGGGCAAAGGGCTAGGAATCAACGAAGACGGGCAAAAGGAGCACGTCAAAGTGCGGCTGAAGGAAAACAACCTCGGTCTTGGCGCGGACCGTCGGACAATCGACAATTGGCTCGACAACAACAGCGCCTTTGACGCTCTGCTGAAGGGCATGGCGGGAAACGAGGACGTGGCTGCTGGAGCAACAACAACAACAACGACAACAACAGAAACCGTGGTCGAGCAGACTGAGGTCGCTGCTGCTCCCGCGCCAGCAGCCGTTTCGGGACGGTTATATCACCGTCAAAAGTTTCGCAGAAACAAGGCCGTTAGCGGGTTCAATGCTGAGCAGCTGAGCATGATTCTGGGTGTTAAGCACACGCCGACGGCCGCGCCGGACGAACCATCGCCAGAGGCCGAGTCACCGTCAGAGGCTGTCCAGGACCATCCGCTGCTCAAAGTCGCGGGAACCACAGTGCAGGACTACTTTGCACAAAAGATGGCGGCGCGTGGGCTCGCACCGCCGGTGGCCACAAAGTCCGCGGCAGAGGAAGAAGACGACGAGGATGATTACGACGCGCCGCCATCTTTTGGCGGGCTAGGTCTTGGCGCTTCATCCCAACCGGCCACGGCCGCACCACCAGCACATTACATGTCTAGCGTCGGTTTTACCATGGGCGGACCGGGTCTCAGCTCCTTTATTAAAACCGTTGATGTCAGCGTAACGGAAACGCTGATGCAGGCCACGACAACGCCAACAGCCAACGACGACGAGCCATCGGCGTCGTCGTCCACACCAACAAAGGCAAGCGAGAAGGCCGAGAAGCGTGCGCGCAAGGAGCAAGCGCGCGCGGAAAAGGCCAGGCGGAAACAAAAGCGCGCCGAGAAGCGGGCCTTGAAAGCCGCCTCATCAAAGCTGCCTACTCCTGCCGATTCACCTTCACAAAAACCCGCTGAGCCCGTGCCAGAACCAATCGAGGAACCATTAGCCGCGCCTGCAGTCAAGCACACGAAGAAGTCAAAGAAAGAGAAGGCGGTAGCAGAGAAAGCATCTTCAGAGCAGCTAAATAGCGGAAAGAAGCGACGGCGGGAAGAGAATGAGGACGCGAAGCCGAAATCTAAGAAGGAAAAGAAGGAGAAGACGGAGAAGAAGGAGAAGGCGGAAAAGGAGGAAAAGGCAAGGAAGCGTGCAAAAGCAAAGAGAGTCGAGGCATAAAAGCACCCGCCACATATTTATATTCAATTTTATTCGCACGGCCACTATTGATCTTGCGATGTTGAATGATACCACAGTATGTGCATGCGCTGAGCTTCTAGTTTGAACGGTGACTGACAGATCTGCGACCAGCTCGGGATCCGCACCCTTTGGCGCATCGGTTTTCATTACCGCATCGCCTCGAGCGCGTCTTTCGTACCCGATGTGCACTGGAATATACGAGGTCACAACGACCTGGGAGATCTTGCGCATCGCAAGCCGTTCCGGAACAAGTTGCTTTGCGTGTGTAAAATCCCGCTGAGCGGGCGGATAAAGCAAGGGCAGTGGGTAAAATGCTGCACTGTTCCCCTGGGTGACACGGTCATTAGGCCAGCAGTTTTTCGACAGCTTGCGCCGCGTGCTCGCGACGCTCTATAAACGGCTCGGTTACGGAATCATGATGGCCTGCCTGCTTTCCGGGTTTCCCTTCATGATGACGGAGTCAAAAACGATTTGCTATGGCCTAATTGCGGGAACGGTTGGGTACCGCCGTTGTCATTTGTCTGACGCCCCCATAATACCGGCGGGACCATTACCTTCGTGTTGGAAGCATTAGCTTGAGGCATCCAAGATATTCTTCTCGTATCCCACCACCCCGTTCTCAAAAACAGCAGCTCAACCACGATGGATGCAGGCCTGAGTTTCAGCGCATGCTGGATCATCGCCATTAACACGGGTCTAAACTGGGTGCAGCTGGTCGGTTGCGTCCTCATCGCCTACGGATACATCATTTCAGCGCGCGTCGGATTGTGGAATGTGGTTTTCGCTCAGGGCGTCACCGGCTTCTTTGGGACGATGCTGGAGACGGCCTTTATTGCTAACGCGCTGTCGGGAAGTGTTAAGAACGTTGCGCTGCTCCTAGGTGCGTTTTTGTTAGTGTCTCCCCATATTCCCCCGTGACGCAACCCTCACTGGCTCCGAACTGGAGGGCTTCCGATTTCCGATTGGCGCTAAAAATCTTAAATCTTTCTATCTTCACGGAGGGCAGGTTTCAATGAAATAAACTGGATCTTCCACGAGTCCCTCACCGTGTACTACTCGCTAAAAAAAACCGAAATCGCCCTCACCAACACTCGCTTCCGCAACTACCTGCGTGCGCTGATGGGTGTTCTCGCGCTGGGATTTGCCGGCTTTAGAATAAACATCGGCCGGCTACGGGTGCGCGACAACACTACTGGAAATGCAGACATTTCCGAAGCCCACAGTTGGGCGTTCATTTTATGGGGTCTCGCGGATCTGATAATTTTTGGTCTGCTGATTTTAAAGACCCGCAGCGATGTGAAAGACGCTGCGGAGGCTGGCATGTCGTCCCACGGCGGCGGGCTGCTCATGACGCTGATGAAATCGTCACTTCTGCGGCTGACTGTCATCTGCGTCAACACACTTGCGATCATTGTAGTGGGCCAGATCAAAGAGCCGGGACCAGCCGCACAGAGCTTCGGGACGTTCCTGTGGATGGTAAAAGGTACTTATCCGATGATCATGCTCTTCGACATCATGTCGACGCAGGCTGCGATACGAGGTGCAACCAGCTCGCGCGGCGCGACGGGCTCGGGCGTCAAGTCCACCGTCATCATGGAGGGCAAAGCCGGGCGAGACAGCTCTCAGCTCCTTACTCGAAAACATACGCGAACGGCCGGAGATATCGAAACGCGCATGGACGGCGAGCAAAACATGGGTCAAGGGGAGGCCTAGACGTTTCGGGCGAGAGGCATTGAAGAATTGCGGCACCATATTCGGCTATTTCTAAGTAAAAAATTTACGTTTCACGCTAAGCTGGGTACTTGCATTTTGTTTTGAGTAATTATTTTGTTACTGCATATACAGCTAGCCTGAATCTTGTAAGTGAATCTAATGCCTTTACTCGTGGGTTAGCGGCCGGCGGAGCGGCCGAAGGGAGGGTGGTCGGGCTGTCGAAGAAAGGCCGGTGCGGTTCACTTCGCGGCCACGTTCTTGATCTTGGATCGAGCACCGCGACCTCTGCCTCCAAGTGAGACAGCTCAGGCTTGCAGCTTAAAAGAGAGACACCGCTCGTCCCGGCAAGGTTTTAACCCTACGCAAAGGATCCATCGACTGGTGGCCGCGCCACGTTCAATTTGGTCACCGGCACCGATATTAGACATGGAGAGTGCCAACTCAGGCTGCGGACAAATGTACTCCCTTGCCAAGTATCAGACCGCAACATTTGATATGCTCACGCAGCAGCGGCAGGATTTGTTGCGGAGAAGACGGCGAAGACTCCCGAAGCGGGACGAGCGGGAAAGCACGTACAATGGCCAGGCGGGTGGCCGCAGCCAAGTATTGGCTGCGTAGTTACGGCGGTAGCTCCCGCGAGAGTCGCCAATGTTGTTGGATGAACCGGGGACAGACGAGGGCGGGGCCGACGACGGGGGCCATGAGAAGGGAGGAGAGGGAAACGGATAGACCCGCCAATGAGCGTCGCCGGCTCAATCGAACCATTTGCGGTAGCGTTATCGAGCCCAGTCGTTCTCAGCCCGTCGAGCAAAGCTGGCGGCACACAGAGCCTTGGACGTGGCAATTCATGCGCAAATTGAGGTCATTGACGACTTACAGCGCATTATTCAAGTGAAGAGGCGACATTTTGCTGCTCTGAAGCAGCCCGCCCGGCCGGCCGAACACAGCTCGTGCGTCGCCCACCAGAGCTTGAGATCCTAAAGGCGTTCTCGCTTCGCCAACATGCGGGAGAGCGAGCCTCAGAGATTCCGCTCGTGAAGCTCAGCTCAGGCGGGACTGCAAGAGGATTTCCGGAAGTTTATCACAGAAGAGCAGCGTCGGGCCAAGCAGCGCCAAATAGGGTGCTGAATTGGCCATGGAGGCGGAGTTGTGGTCAATGGTATTCAATGACGTGGAGGAAAGGCGGCGGCTTTTCGCTACAGAGTGCCGGTTTAAGTCACGATGACGGAGACGCTCCCGTTCTGCCCAGACATCATTCACCTGCAGGAGGTCGATGGCAGGTAAATGCTGTCTGGGCAGAGCCGCATGGAATTGAAGGCGCAAGGACCTGGGATTTAGCTCGTCTGGCAGCGGGAGCTATGCGGATTGGCCGTCCGTCGGCTGCGGTTGCTGTCATTCCCCCGGCGCCTCCTGGCAGGCACCTCATGAAGTGGCCAGTTAAGAGTCAGGAATACAAGAAGGTGGCCCAATTGCCACAGGAAACGCCATTTGGCTTTTTCCAGCATGGCAAACCACATCGACAGCTACGGGCATGATCCCCATAACCCGCTTCTTCAGCTCCCGGCCGGGATCGCGAGGGAATACCCAAACCACCCTCATCACCAGACATGGGTGGATATCATTGAGATCCTGATGGTTCTAGGCTCTGCCTCCACTGAGCTTGTAAAGGGGCCACTTGCTGCACTTCGTGGCGTGCTCACCATCACCCAGTACAACATT